GAGCCAGTGTAACAACCGGTATTTTTATCGGCAAAATCAATGGCATTGGTAATGAACATTCGTGAGATACACAGGGTGGACATCATAAAGTGCTTGCACACCCGTTTATTTTCACCCTGCAGACCCGAACCCAAATAGAAACGGGTGTGATAGGCGCGTGGTGGGCGATTGGATTTACGAAATTCCGGTGTTGTCACCGATTCAATTTCTTTGGTTTCAATGCGTGCCAAGATGTAATCTTTTCGCCGTTTATAGTCCATAGACCAGAAGATGTCGCAGATTTGTTTTCGCTCCTCTTCCGTAAATTTGGTGTGACATTTTTGTATGCAGCGCTGTTGGCATTTTATCGGCTTGGGATGATGTTCGGGTAAAGGATCGCCAGGTTTACGTCGTACCCTTTTCTTTTTCGGTTCATTGGCAGCTGCTGTGGAGGTGGCCGAAGAAGTTGGTGGTTTATTTTTCTTAGCCTTTGGATCTATGGTTATTAGATCGCCCGTTTCAGGATCTAGGAATTGTTGTATTTCTTCTGATTTTTCCTCAGATTTTATATTGGCTTTTTGTTGTTCTAGCAACGGCTTTATGACCTCAATTTCCGATTCTGGTTCGTAGCCCTCCAAGGCCTTCTTAATGGCATGATCCCTTAAACACAGTGTGTTTTCAAAGAATTTCCGACAAACCCGTACATAATTGGAGATATTGTCCACTTCTGCTGGGGTACGATTTAAATAATAACAACAATTACCACCACGATTTGTTATCCTCTTGCGTTGCAAACGGACACAACGGGACCGCATATGTTTACGTATATATTGCACGCGCTCCTTATCGTTGAGCGACCAATAATAATCACAAATAGCATGACGTTCTTCGATGGTGAATTTACTATGACATTGCTGTTTGCATTTATCCCGACATTTTTCCATTTTGGGTGTGAAATTTTTATCCAAATCTTTGCGTGGCCTGCCACGATTGCGTGTCAACATTATCAGGGGTTCATCTTCATAGTCTTCATCATCGGAGTAGGCGGCGGGATCGTTATCATCACGATCATCATTATCATTGCTACTGCTGCTGTCGCTGCTATTATCGCTTTCATCATCATATTGGTCCACCACCTCCTCCTCCTGCTCCTCTTCTCCTCCACCATCCATAAATTCCTCAGGCATTATCTCCACCTTGGGTTCATAATCGTCAGCATCATTGTCATTATCCTTATCCTCGGGAAGTGATGTGTCATTCATTTTCACAATTAAATCCTTAAATTTAGCTTCTTCTTCTTCCTCGACCTCCTCCGCCTCTTCTTCTTTGTGTGCAATTTCAATTTCCATTTTAATTTCTCTTTCCGTTGGTGTACAAAGTGGATCATCCACCACCACTGATAGTGATTTTTGTTTATTTAAAACTGCCGATCCACGGGTTGCATAGCCACCAATTGTTGTTGTCGTCGACTCATCCTCCTCATTTTTAACGACAACACTGCTGTGTTTCAATTTTTTCTGTATTTTTGTGTTTCGTTTCTTTTTATTGGCCGCCTTGTCGTCTTTTTTCCTCGCCAATTTTCGACAGCGTCTTCTCTCGATTTTCTTTGGCGCCTTAATATTCTTAACAATTTTTGGCGGCTTTTCATCAAGATATAGAACGTTCGGTTCTAACAATTGCACATTGATTTCTGCAAACATAATGGCAAGCAAAAAGCACTTATCAAAATTCCGGAGAACATGGTTTTGGTTTTTGTAGGGTGGGGCTATAACAAGTTTGAAGTGTATTTTTTTGTTCTTTCTTAAAATAAAAATTTAAAATTAAATTTGCACACAGTTTTTTTACTTGATCAGAATCCCAAAACGGGAATTTCGAATGGAAAGCGGTATTAAAAATACGTTTAGATTTTTGTGAGATTGTCAAATGGATAACAGTCATGATATTTTCTTTGACTATAAAAATATTGGTTGAATGATTTTTCTGGCGAACCAAAGGTCCATAATCGTGGTTTGCATTTTTTGGGAGCAACAAACATACCATAAGCACGATTAAAGGACCAATAGGACGTGGTTTTTAGCGATTTTTTTTATAGAACCTTAAACATTGATATAAACGAACAGAGGGACAAAAGAACGTTTTAGATTGGATACTAGAGAGCAGAGCATTTTTATAGAGGACCAAAATATCATATGTGTGGAATTTTTCTATAGTACCAGCAGACCCATAAGTGTTGATTTTTAAACAAATTTTCTAAAGTATTTATAAGCCCAAAGGCGCAGGTTTTATAGCATTTTCTCGAAGACTTTTTAAACAATTTTCTAGAGTATCCAAAGGTCCAAAAGCCTTGTTTTAAACAAAAAAAGCTCTAAAGTTCTAAAAAGGCCTTAAGCATGAATGATCTACAGATTTTTCCTAGAGCACCAAAGACATTTTCTCGAGCTCCGAAAATTTTGTAAATATTTTGTCCGTGGTACCCCAAAGATCCAAAAGAGTGTATTTTGTAAAGATTTTTTAAGAAATTTCCTAGAAAACCAAAAAGGCCCATAGGCGTGGATTTTTAAAAGAGGGTTTAGAAGCCCATAAGACGTGGATTTTGAAAAAAAAAAATTATAGAGCAGATCCGAGAAGGTTTAGAAGCCCACAAGACGTGGATTTTGAAAAAAAATATATAGAGCAGATCCGAGAAGGTTTAGAAGTCCACAATGCGTGGATTTTTAAAGAATTTTTATAGAGCAGATCTGAGAGGGTTTAGAAGCCCACAAGGCGTGGATGTTTAAAAAATTTAATTTTAGAGCAGATTCGAGATTGTTTTAAAGCTCACAAGATATGGATTTGTAAAGATTTTTTATAGAGCCGATTCGAGAGGGTTTGAAAGCTTCCATGGTGTGGTTTTAAAGAATTTTTATGGAGCCGATTCGAGAGGATTTGAAAGCTTCCATGGTGTGGTTTTAAAGAATTTTTATAGAGCCGATTCGAGAGGATTTGAAAGCTTCCATGGTGTGGTTTTTAAAAGAATTTTTATAGAGTACTAAAGGGACGATAGGTGTGAATTTTTAAAAGAATTTTATAGAGGACTAAAAAAACGATAGGCCTGGATTTTTAAAGAATTTTATAGAGCACATTCGAGACGTTTTGAAAGCTCACAAGACATGGATTTTTAAAGAATTTTTAAAGATCACTGCCCTTACAAGGCAAAATTCAAATAATAAAGACTTTTTATAGAGGACTAAAAGCCCGATAAGTGTGGATTAAAAAAAATTTAAAGGACTAAAAGCCCGATAAGCTTGGATTTTTCAAAACAAAAAAAAAAAAAAAAAAAATGTAGAGGACTAAAAGCCTGATAAGCGTTAATTTTTATAGAGACCTAAGAACACGATAAGAGTGGATTTTCAAAAAAAAAAAAAAAGGATTTTTTAAATAATTTTGATAGAGGTCAAAAAACCAATAGTCCCATGGATGCTCCGTGCGACGAATTTTTAGGGTTTCGACTGTCAAAAAGGTGTAAGCATCGAAAACGTCATATACCTGTATAAAATGTAATAAATGTAGTAAACGTCATTTATTTGAATTTCTATATATAGAAGAAAATGAAATTTGATATCGATTTGAAAAACATACGTAATTTCATAATTGATTAATGGAAATAGCGGTTTTGTCAGAAACCTAATCAAAAAAACTCGGATTTTTTAACGTAATGTATTATACGTCGGACATATAGGTCATTTACGTCACTGTTTCTGACAGGCCATCTCTGATAAGGCCTGTATTTGTTTAAAGAGTTTTTTAGAGAACTAGAAATGTCCAAAGGCTACAATTTTTTAATAAAAATTTCCCAGAAAACCAAGAATGTCCAAAGGCGTGGATTTTGTTAAAGTTTTGTAGAGAACAAAAAGGTCAAAGAACAAAAAGGCACTTTTCCAAAGACCCATAGGAATTTTTGAGTATTTGTCAAGGCCCATATGCATTTTTGTACAATTGAAAACATTGGCTTTCATATATTTTATAGACGAACAACACATGTGGCATGTTAATTGTAAAATTTCAATTTAATCGGATAAAAAATAAAAATTTGACAATCAAAAAACAAATGAGTATACCGGTATACCACATTAGAATCACTTACTCTACCACTTTGAATAAAAACCCAATTAAAACAGTGTTTAATAAAAATTTTATGGCAACAAAATACAGCTTCAACTGATACAGGCTTTATCAGTTGAAGCTGAGGAGGCATTAAAATACAAATATAAATTTTAAGAGTATTTAAATACAAACTGAAGCTCAGGGAGTCATTACATAGATCTGCAGCCGTGATAGTCATAATAAGTTAGCATAAGCTTATGAAGTCATTATGGGCTAAATTAAGCTCATGTCAGTTATTCTATGATGAAGTCAGTTAGCCGTTAAAGACGAATTGAAGTTCAGATTGTTATCAAATACGGTCAGACAGTTTTTATATGTGAGTTTAATGCCTTTAACTTCCGAGTCTTCCAATAATTTTATAAATGCACATCTAAAATTTGAAATAGAATCGATTTTTATAAAAAAAAAAGATTTTGCCAGAGTAACCCTGGAGGTAAAACGATTTCATATCACAACACAATATCAAATATCATGTAGCTATAGTATCATCAACAACAATAACAGCATAAATCAATAAATATGTACTATGAGTCCTATGATATAATCATATTCCATTTAAGCTATTAACAAGAACACACACATTTTGCCATGAACTTTGCTTTGGTTTTGCATATTTTGCAACAAGAAGAAGAACAAGAGTAAGCACAACTCTTGTGTTGGGCTCAACACACAGAGCCACACACCCAATTGGGTACGTGCTATAGCATAATATTATATAGTATAATGATACGGTTTACATATTGACACACTGATGTACGCACAAATAGTAGTAGTATCTCAAAAATATGTAACAAAAACGGAGGAGGGGGGCCTTTTTTGTATTGAAAACATTTCTATGACTTCAATTATGGAATATCGATAGATTGCTTGGTACATACCTTCCATATCTAATTCAACTTCGGATTCTTCAGATTCCTCCTCTACAACAGGTTCGGCGGCCTCATCATCAGCCTGTGTAGAAGATGGTGGTGGTTGTGTTTTGGTTTCCGTTTTTGCATCACCTCCAAAGGGACATTTCCTACAAGAAGCAGAACATGAAAATCAAAATCAATGAATTGCAAAATCAGGCAGACAAGCCCCAGCCAGACAGCCAAAGCAGGCATGTAAACATACACACACAAACACTCGTGCTTGCATATGCATATACACCGCTTGCATTACAGCGGCTAGCTGCTAGGTTATACTGGTTTTGGCCATTTTTCCGTCATTACTCACCCTCCGGCCGGCATTTGATAGTCACCCTCTGGAACTTTGCCACCAAATTTCTCAATAAATCTCTTCAGAAATCCCAATTGGGGCACATTCAATATCAAAGGATTAGCCGATACGAAATCGATGAATTTCTTCAATTTCTCCAAATCTTCGGGATTAATGCCAGCCATTTTTTATTGATTTTCTTGTATATACTTGGTATATAGTAGATGTAGAATGTAATTAATTATATTTATGGAATTTAATTGCAAATTAAAACTCGATTTTTTCAATAATTATTCCTCCGGAGTGCAATTGCAAACGTGATTTGTTTCTGGACTTTTCACCGACTGAAGAAAAATCGAAAAACGTTCCGTCTGCTAACGAATGAGAGAAGACAAAATTGCCAATAAAGATGAACTCAAAGGGGACAGCCGAAAGTTTACGAATGATGTGGGAGGGAGCCGCGTTGTTTACAACGCACACACTCACAGCGGCTGCAGTCAGAGAACCGAGCCATACTGAAATGCTAACGGCGTTGTTATATGCATGACGTCGTAAAAGGATCAGCTGTTTAAGGTTTGACAATTTAAAAATTGGGGTTTGGAATGTAATTTTGATTACAAATTAAATTGCATTCGTCGGTAAAAATCGAAAATCGATCGGCAGCTTTATTTTTTTTTACTGATCCAAAGTTGGCTTAAAGTTTAACGACGTCCTAATGGAATTGTTGTAACCTGCGAGGCGAAGGGGTTAAATAAAAGGGTTTGGCGTTAGCGTCTGACGGCAAATGTAGTTGACGAATTGTTTGTACAGTCCTTTTTGGGACATACTGTAGACCGAAACCCATTTATTGGCTCAGAGATAAAAACGAAAGGTATTTTATGACAATGTTTACATATATGCGTTTTAATAAAACATGCTAATTGGAAACAAGTCAAATTTTTCAAATTTTAATACAATCGAAATAGCTTATGAACGGCTATGGTACCGGCGAAATTTGTCGTTATAAACGGCATTATGTACTTACTTAGCTGGCTTATGACAGATCGGTTGTTTAAGCCGAGCTTAAAAAAGATTTCCAGGCGCCTCGGTCTTGTGCGATCTCATCCAATTTGAAAGATAAATTTCCGAAATGTTGTCTTCTACTTGATTTTTCGATCGGATTCGTGGCCTTCCGAGATAGGAAAGCTTGTGTCATGGGAGCCAATGCTTCGGTCTGGAGGGATGTGCAGGGTGATTGCCTACAGGGTTCCATTTGTGGTCCATGTATATGGAATTTAATGATGGATCCTCTGTTGTTGTAGCAGCTTGTACTGCTGTGTATTTCTTCTTATTCTCCTTAATCAGGTTCTGCTTCTTACTCCAAGTTCAGGAGGGCTGCGACCTGTATCGATTGAGTCCAAAAAGAAGATGGGGTTAGGTGAGTGGGTTTGGCTGGGCAGTTGAATAGGTGTAGCGTGTCATGTGGTCTATTACCACACGCCGGGCAGATATTGTCGACCTATCCATCAATTCGCCCAATATGAATTGAGGCGGCTACACCATCCAGATCTTAGTTGTGCCAAGACCACTCTGGTTTGTAGAGGTAGCTGCTGCTCTTCTGCAGCTATCGTAGGCGATGTATCCTCTGTTGCGGAGCTAGCTGTCTTATTCAAGGTTTGTGCATATGGGGACGATGTGTTCATCATGATTGAAGGGGATAGTCGCCTTGAAGTGGAAAATCATGGTGTGCAAGCTATGCAGATTGTTCAGGATTGGAGTGACCGAGTTGGAGTGGAGGTGGCAACTGAGAAGACGGTTTTTTCCTCCCGCACTTCGATCGGTTGAAGGAGAAGCTGACAACGGTCGTTGGGACTATCAAGCGTGTTTTGCGGACTGATTGTTGCTTGTGTAGGCGTTATGTGCGTATCATATATGGTGGGGTATTTGTCGCCTGTGCAACATGTGGTGCACTTATATGGTACAGAGCTGCCTCATCTGTCTTTGGACAGAAGAAGCTCATTTCGTGTCAGCATGTCGACATGTTTGCCAGTGTGTAGCACTGTTTCCACATAGGCGTTGCAAGTGCTGCTTGGCGCCGCGCCGCTTGATCTTGAGATGAGATGTAGGGATATCAAATATAAACTTAAGCGTGGCTTGCAGTTGGATGAGGATGATTGGCTCATGCCTTCTGATCTGGTGGATGGGGATAGTATGCGGTAAAGCACTATCCTTCGGGAGTGTGTTGTTGATAGGTGGACGGACAGTGACATACGAAGTTATTCGTGACCGAACGTTCGTAGTTGACCGGCTTCGGCTTAAGTACCGGTTTCTTACTGACGGGGCATGGTTCTCTCAATTCGTTTCTTCATAATAAAAACCTGTCCCGGACGGATTTATGTGGGTGTGGGATGACTGAGGACTGAAAGTATATACTGACGGAATGCTGTTACTATGAAGACATTAGAGATTTAGCAAATATGGGTATATCGAATGAAGGGACGGGGGTGGGATTTCAGTAGGGCTCTTGAAGAAGATTGGACCTTTAGTTATTAGTTTTATAGGAATTGAAGAGTAGCCTTTATATATTAGATGGATCCAGGAATATTTATAGACCTGCTTAAGGTTGTCTTTATAGACGAGCTGAAGGGAGTCTTAATTGCTGAAGAGAGGGAGAGTATTTTTGGGCCAACCGACGAAGGTTTTTGTAGAGTTACTGCCTTAGGAGTCTTTAAAAATATCTGAAGCTTAAACTCAGGGAGTCATTATATACGACCTGAAGCTTTATAGACACTTCGGAGTCCAGGAAGCCATTAAAGAATTAATGTTCAGGTTGGCATCAAATTCGATCAGGTAGTCTTTATAGGCGAGTTAAGTAGAGAGATTTATAGACATAGAAGCTTTGTAGACCTGCTGAGGCAGGGAGCCTCTATCGATGAGTTGGAAGCAGTATCCACATAAGTCATCATAGTCAAGCTAAGGGCAAGGAAGCTCAGGGTTCAGATAGTTTTTATAGATTTTTATAGACCAAAGCGCAGTAACCCGAAGCCGGTCTTTATTGACAACCTGATGAAAAATTTAGCTGAATGGAAGGATTTTAATAGACGAGCTTAGGGCCAGGAGTTTTTATGTAGGCCTGTTGAACCTCATAGGTTTCAGAAAACATGAGGTAGGAGGAAAAAAGCCTTTCATACCATACATTGGTAATGTGTTCATATAAAACAAGAAGGTCGTCACAAAGAACAAGGGGAAGATCGGTGAATAGTGTCTGCTATTATATGTCGTTTACCTGTTCAACTACATTCATAGAAAGTATAATATACATATTTTTAAAAATATTTATTTACAATAATTAAATAAAATTTTCTACATACACCTTATCTATGTGGAATGACTACCCGATGATGATGATGGTTCAGCCATCGCATTACCAATTTCCCCTCTATCCACCTCATCACTATGACATGCTGCATAATGTGTTTGTAGATCCTCGTTGATGTGGAATCCTTTACTGCATATCACACATATGTGAGGTTTATCACTTGTATGACGTTTCTCGTGATCGACAAGATTTTTCAGCGTGATGAAGCGTCGTGAACAAAACGAACAAATATGTTTACGCAAAGATTTGTCATGACTTTTCATGTGCGACTTAAGACTTTCCTGGTGGGCAAAACTCTTCTCACACACCTCACATGAAAACGGCTTCTCACCGGTGTGTAGACGTTCGTGACACACCTTACCATTGCGAGTACTAAACTTCTTACTGCAATAGTCACAGGAGTAGCGTCGTTCACCTTCGTGTACAACTTTTACATGCCGCGATATGGCATTGCGATGATTGAAAACCTGTGGACATCGGGGACAGGGAAATTTTTCCATATCGGGAAAATGAACACGCATGTGTGTATTAAGTTCGGTGCGTGTGACTTTGGCCACGCCACACATTTGACAGACATGTTCCTTGATTTGTTTGTGACGCTTAATGTGTTCGATGATGGCTTTGCGGGAACTATATGTCCTTTGACACAGTTCACACGTGTATTTATCGTTCGCCGTAACTTTAACACCATCCGCCTGATGTTGATTTTCTTGATTTTTTCCATTTTTCTTATGTTTTGATTTCTTATGCAAATACAATTGATTGTAGGATACGAATGCCAATGGACACAATATACATTGGAACGGTTCCTTTTCACCCATATGTATACCCTTGACATGGGCATCCAAATAGAATTGTTTGTAGAATTTCTTATTGCAAATGTTGCAGAAAAAGCTGCGCCTAAATTTAGCACTCAAATTGCCAATGACAAATTGACGATGACCGGCATCGTTTGATAGATTATCATCGGCACCATTAATTAGAAGTGAGGCATCATTATTGGCATCATCATCATGTTCATAATCTCCGTTGGTATATTCACCAATCTCCTCCTCATCGCCGTCGTCATCGCTGCTATTCATTTCAAATGACGGCTGTTCTTGTGTACTATCCTGTTCGGGATTAACCGTATGCTCATTAAATTGTGTTTCGCTAGCTTCAAAAAATGGTTCCGATTTGATGTTCATCATGTCCATATTTGCTAATTCGGGTAGCAGCTTTTGGCAGGGAGAGAGAGAGAGAGAATGAAAGAATATTAGTAAGTAATGGTTATTAAAAATATAGGTTTAATGTTTCTATAAGAAGAACTACTGGACTTCTATGAGAACATCTACTTGTCTTCTATGAGAAGACCTATTGATCTTCTATGAGAACATCTACTTGTCTTCTAATAGAAGACCAATTGATCTTCTATGATCTTCTCTTCTACCGTTCTTCTGTGAGAAAACCTTATCTTCTATAGGAAGGTCTTTAGGTCTTCTATGAAAAGGCCTTCTGGTCTTCTATGAGAACACCTTCGGGTCTTCTATGAGAATACCTTCTGGTCTTCTTTGAGAATACCTTCTGGTCTTCTATGAGAATAACTTCTGGCCTTCTATGAGAATATCTTCTGGTCCTTAAAAAAATATCCTTCTAAAAATCCACGCCTGCGATAGACCTTGGAAAAACATTCTTTAAAAAAATCACGCCTGGGCTAGACCTTGAAAAAATATTATTTTAAAATCCATGCCTATATATACTACACCTTGAAAGAATATTCTTTTAAAAATTTAAAATTCCAAAATTCATATCCAAGATTATCTTACCAATTTATCATCATCGTCACCTCCTTGATAGTTCTTCTCCCCCTCCTCCTTCTTACAATCCATTTGGCGCTTTTGTGAGCCCGAGTCACTCTTCTCATCGTTATCAGGGTACTTCTCACTTTTTATCCAACTAATTTGGTTGACATGCTCGTCACCCCTTTCAGTTTTGGCAATTATTTGGACTGGAACCACCTCAGGTTCTTCTGCTTCCGACAAAACTTCCGCCTTAACACAAATGTTCTTCTCCTCCTGCTCCTCGTTACCACCATCATTATCATCTGGACATATTATTTCTTCTTCCATGCCACTTTTTCGCCTTAACATTTCATAGAGGGTTTCCGTACTCTTGAGGGTCAATTTGCGAAAGGCATCATAGTCCAAGAGACGATTCAGGCATAATTGACACAATAGCTTGGGAAATTTCGACAGCTCCTTGGTCACATCCATGGTGGTAATGCATAGGAATAGCTGACATAGATTTGGTATCAGCAAATTGTTGTTATCTTCATCCGAGGAATTATTCAGGGTCTTGAGGCAGGCTCGACATAGCTCCTGCAAATTTCGATGGGTTACTGCATCCATGACGAGGGTCACCTTACTAGATATTTAATTATTTAAAAAAATATATTAAAATTATTCTTTTCGCCCGTCCACAATCCAATTCGTCCAATTTTTCGTATGTTGAGGGCTACGAATAGAGGAAGATCGGAATTGACGGATGACTGATAAACACCACAACGAAACAGAATGGGCGAAGGTACGAGGAATTTTTTGAGGACCTGAACAAGGCGTGGATTTTTAAAACAAGACTTTTTGAAGGACCTAAACAAGGCGTGGTTTATTAAAAGAAGACTTTTTGAAGGACCTATTCAAGGCGTGGTTTATTAAAAGAAGACTTTTTGAAGGACCTATTCAAGGCGTGGTTTATTAAAAGAAGACTTTTTGAAGGACCTATTCAAGGCGTGGTTTATTAAAAGAAGACTTTTTGAAGGACCTATTCAAGGCGTGGTTTATTAAAAGAAGACTTTTTGAAGGACCTATTCAAGGCGTGGTTTATTAAAAGAAGACTTTTTGAAGGACCTATTCAAGGCGTGGTTTATTAAAAGAAGACTTTTTGAAGGACCTATTCAAGGCGTGGTTTATTCTTTTTGAAGGCTATTCAAGGCGTGGTTTATTAAAAGAAGACTTTTTGAAGGACCTATTCAAGGCGTGGTTTATTAAAAGAAGACTTTTTGAAGGACCTATTCAAGGCGTGGTTTATTAAAAGAAGACTTTTTGAAGGACCTATTCAAGGCGTGGTTTATTAAAAGAAGACTTTTTGAAGGACCTATTCAAGGCGTGGTTTATTAAAAGAAGACTTTTTGAAGGACCTATTCAAGGCGTGGTTTATTAAAAGAAGACTTTTTGAAGGACCTATTCAAGGCGTGGTTTATTAAAAGAAGACTTTTTGAAGGACCTATTCAAGGCGTGGTTTATTAAAAGAAGACTTTTTGAAGGACCTATTCAAGGCGTGGTTTATTAAAAGAAGACTTTTTGAAGGACCTATTCAAGGCGTGGTTTATTAAAAGAAGACTTTTTGAAGGACCTATTCAAGGCGTGGTTTATTAAAAGAAGACTTTTTGAAGGACCTATTCAAGGCGTGGTTTATTAAAAGAAGACTTTTTGAAGGACCTATTCAAGGCGTGGTTTATTAAAAGAAGACTTTTTTAAGGACCTAAACAAGGCGTGAATTTTTAAAAGAAGACTTTTTTAGGGACCTATTCAAGGCGTGGTTTATTAAAAGAAGACTTTTTTAGGGACCTAAACAAGGCGTGAATTTTTAAAAGAAGACTTTTTTAGGGACCTATTCAAGGCTTGGTTTATTAAAAGAAGACTTTTTGAAGGACCTATTCAAGGCGTGGTTTATTAAAAGAAGACTTTTTGAAGGACCTATTCAAGGCGTGGTTTATTAAAAGAAGACTTTTTGAAGGACCTATTCAAGGCGTGGTTTATTAAAAGAAGACTTTTTGAAGGACCTATTCAAGGCGTAGTTTATTTGAAGGACCTATTCAAGGCGTGGTTTTTTTGAAGGACCTATTCAAGGCGTGGTTTATTAAAAGAAGACCTTTTGAAGGACCTATTCAAGGCGTGGTTTATTTGAAGGACCTATTTAAGGCGTGGTTTATTTGAAGGACCTATTCAAGGCGTGGTTTATTTGAAGGACCTATTCAAGGCGTAGTTTATTTGAAGGACCTATTCAAGGCGTGCTTTATTAAAAGAAGACTTTTTGAAGGACCTATTCAAGGCGTGCTTTATTAAAAGAAGACTTTTTGAAGGACCTATTCAAGGCGTGCTTTATTAAAAGAAGACTTTTTGAAGGACCTATTCAAGGCGTGCTTTATTAAAAGAAGACTTTTTGAAGGACCTATTCTAGGCGTGGTTTATTAAAAGAAGACTTTTTGAAGGACCTATTCAAGGCGTGGTTTATTTGAAGGACCTATTCAAGGCGTGGTTTATTAAAAGAAAACTTTTTGAAGGACCTATACAAGGCGTGGTTTATTAAAATAAGACTTTTTAGGAATTTTTCAAGGCCTGGTTTATGAAAAGAAGACTTTTTGAAGGACCTATTCAAGGCGTGGTTTATTAAAAGAAGACTTTTTGAAGGACCTATCCAAGGCGTGGTTTATTAAAAGAAGACTTTTTGAAGGACCTATCCAAGGCGTGGTTTATTAAAAGAAGACTTTTTGATGGACCTATTCAAGGCGCGGTTTATTAAAAGAAGATTTTTTAGGGACCTATACAAGGCCTGGTTTATTAAAAGAAGACTTTTTGAAGGACCTGTTCAAGGCGTGGAGTTTTGAAAGAAGACTTTTTGAAGGACCTATTCAAGGCGTGGTTTATTAAAAGAAGACTTTTTGAAGGACCTATCCAAGGCGTGGTTTATTAAAAGAAGACTTTTTGAAGGACCTATTCAAGGCGTGCTTTATTAAAAGAAGACTTTTTGAAGGACCTATTCTAGGCCTGGTTTATTAAAAGAAGACTTTTTGAAGGACCTATTCAAGGCGTGGTTTATTAAAAGAAGACTTTTTGAAGGACCTAAACAAGGCGTGGATTTTTAAAAGAAGACTTTTTGAAGGACCTATCCAAGGCGTGGTTTATTAAAAGAAGACTTTTTGAAGGACCTATCCAAGGCGTGGTTTATTAAAAGAAGACTTTTTGAAGGACCTATCCAAGGCGTGGTTTATTAAAAGAAGACTTTTTGAAGGACCTGTTCAAGGCGTGGAGTTTTGAAAGAAGACTTTTTGAAGGACCTATTTAAGGCGTCATTTTTTCAATATTCATTGTACACATACCAAAAATTAGGTTTAGTGTTGATTTTTTCCAAAAGTGCTGCTGTTGTTCGGTTGATTTATGGCAATTAAAAATAAAGTATTTCCATTAATTCAATAAAGCCCATAAATTACAAAAAGTGTAATAAAATATTTTTGTTTCACTTTTGTAAATAAGTAAATTAAAAAAATTAAATTAACTTTAGCGCAAAAATTTTGTAAAACAAATTTTCCATTTTTATGGCCACTAAGCAAACATTTCTTTCGAATAGTCAGTCATCACTCACCTGAACGACCATCAAAAATATTTCATGTTCGGCATGACCACAATTACCAAAAAAAAGAAACAACCAAATATTCCCTATCCCGCACTCCATGGCGCATCTTAGGCCGACACAGGCACCTTGCTTGGGTGCACATCTAATCCAATGAAATACAGGCGAACAAAAAAACAACAACAACAGCAAAACATTGGCAAAAGAAATGCATCATCACCCACACTCTTTGCAGGCACTTCACATCGCATCTGTCTTAGTCTGAAGTTTACGCTTGTGTCTAGCTCTTCGAAGTTCGGGCTGCTTGATATGCTCTGATTATTACAATTAGTTTAATAAAAATCAAATAAAACAACAGCAACAACAAAAGATACAACAACATTTTACAAAAGAAATGAAAAACTGTTGTACAGATTGTTGGATGGATGGCTAGATGGATTGGAGGTACACACATAGTTCCAGCTCTCGAAAGCACTAACTGATCACTTATCACTCCAACGCTTTTGGGTGCGTGTTAAGAGCAACACATACCCAGTGGAAGCAGAGCAATGTTGTTACGAATTCTACTTTATTCATAATGACTGTACCTCCAATATTAGTCAGGGAGGATGGTGGAACAGTGTCATGAAAAAACTTAGGTGAAAACGCGGAGGACATTGGAAAATTATTCCTTTAAAAATCCACGCCTTGTTTAGGTCCTTTAAAAAATCTTCTTTTAAAAATCCACGCCTTGTTTAGGTCCTTTAAAAAATCTTCTTTTAAAAATCCACGCCTTGTTTAGGTCCTTTAAAAAATCTTCTTTTAAAAATCCACGCCTTGTTTAGGTCCTTTAAAAAATCTTCTTTTAAAAATCCACGCCTTGTTTAGGTCCTTTAAAAAATCTTCTTTTAAAAATCCACGCCTTGTTTAGGTCCTTTAAAAAATCTTCTTTTAAAAATCCACGCCTTGTTTAGGTCCTTTAAAAAATCTTCTTTTAAAAATCCACGCCTTGTTTAGGTCCTTTAAAAAATCTTCTTTTAAAAATCCACGCCTTTGTTTGGTCCATGAAAAAATCTTCTTTTAAAAATCCACGCCTTGTTTAGGTCCTTTAAAAAATCTTCTTTTAAAAATCCACGCCTTGTTTAGGTCCTTTAAAAAATCTTCTTTTAAAAATCCACGCCTTGTTTAGGTCCTTTAAAAAATCTTCTTTTAAAAATCCACGCCTTGTTTAGGTCCTTTAAAAAATCTTCTTTTAAAAATCCACGCCTTGTTTAGGTCCTTTAAAAAATCTTCTTTTAAAAATCCACGCCTTGTTTAGGTCCTTTAAAAAATCTTCTTTTAAAAATCCACGCCTTGTTTAGGTCCTTTAAAAAATCTTCTTTTAAAAATCCACGCCTTGTTTAGGTCCTTTAAAAAATCTTCTTTTAAAAACCCACGCCTTGTTTAGGTCCTTTAAAAAATCTTCTTTTAAAAATCCACGCCTTGTTTAGGTCCTTTAAAAAATCTTCTTTTAAAAATCCACGCCTTGTTTAGGTCCTTTAAAAAATCTTCTTTTAAAAATCCACGCCTTGTTTAGGTCCTTTAAAAAATCTTCTTTTAAAAATCCACGCCTTGTTTAGGTCCTTTAAAAAATCTTCTTTTAAAAATCCACGCCTTGTTTAGGTCCTTCAAAGGACCTTGTTTAGGTCCTTCAAAAAGTCTTTTTTTAAAAATCCACGCCTTGTTTATGTCCTTAAAAGAGTCTTCTTTTAAAAATCCACGCCTTGAAGGGGTCCTTCAAAAGTCTTCTTTTAAAAATCCACGCCTTGAAGGGGTCCTTCAAAAATCTTCTTTTAAAAATCCACGCCTTGTTTAGGTCCTTTAAAAAATCTTCTTTTAAAAATCCACGCCTTGTTTAGGTCCTTAAAAGAGTCTTCTTTTAAAAATCCACGCCTTGAAGGGGTCCTTCAAAAGTCTTCTTTTAAAAATCCACGCCTTGAAGGGGTCCTTCAAAAGTCTTCTTTTAAAAATCCACGCCTTG